AACTTACCTACCCCACCTTTAAAGTTTCTCTGGTATAAAATGGGTGGTGTTAGCACAGGGTTGCCAACTTTGGGTACCTGGCTGGAGTGAGATTTTGATATCATGGGTTTAATTACACATATGCACACTAAATGACTGATATCGTGTCAGCAGCGGGACCTTAGCATATATACAGTGGGGCAAAAAAGTATTTAGTCAGCCACCAATTGTGCAAGTTCTCCCACTTAAAAAGATGAGAGGCCTGTAGTTTTCATCCTAGGTACACTTCAACTATGAGAGACAGAATGGGGGGAAATAATCCAGGAAATCACATTGTAGGATTTTTAATGAATGAATTGGTAAATTCCTCGGTAAAATAAGTATTTGGTCACCTACAAACAAACAAGATCTCTGGCTCTCACAGACCTGTAACTTCTTCTTTAAGAGCCTCCGCTGTCCTCCACTTGTTAACTGTATTAATGGCACTTGTTTGAACTCGTTATCAGTATAAAAGACACCTGTCCACAACCTCAAACAGTCACACTCCAAACTCCACTATGGCCAAGACCAAAGAGCTGTCAAAGGACACCAGAAACAAAATTGTAGACCTGCACCAGGCTGGGAAGACTGAATCTGCAATAGGTAAGCAGCTTGGTGTGAAGAAATCAACTGTGGGAGCAATTATTAGAAAATGGAAGACATACAAGACCACTGATAATCTCCCTCGATCTGGGGCTCCACGCAAGATCTCACCCCGTGGGGTCAAAATGATCACAAGAAGAGACGGTTAGCAAAAATCCCAGAACCACACGGGGGGACCTAGTCAATGACCTGCAGAGAGCTGGGACCAAAGTAACAAAGGATACCATCAGTATCACACTACGCCGCCAGGGACTCAAATCCTGCAGTGCCAGACGTGTCCCCCTGCTTAAGCCAGTACATGTCCAGGCCCGTCTGAAGTTTGCTAGAGAGCATTTAGATGATCCAGAAGAGGATTGGGAGGATGTCATATGGTCAGATGAAACCAAAATACAACTTTTTGGCAAAAACTCAACTAGACGTGTTTGGAGGAGAAAGAATGCTGAGTTGCATCCAAAGAACACCATACCTACTGTGAAACATGGGGGTGGAAACATCATGCTTTGGGGCTGTTTTTCTGCAAAGGGACCAGGACGACTGATCCGTGTAAAGCAGGGTTGCCCACACTTTTTGGGCTGGTGAGCTACTTTTGAAATGACCAGCTCACCGAGGTCTACCAACCAAAAATAAAATCCCAAATTGCAAGGGTTGCTGAATAACACGTTTTATTTATACATGGGATAATAGGGCTGCAACAAACGACTAATTTGATAACCGATGAATCTATCGATTAATGAAACGATGAATCGACTATTCCTGTATGCCTTGCACAATTTCTCAAACGCTCTTATTTAGCCATCAACTTTTAGATTTAGCTTGAGGTTGTTTTAGGCATGTGGAAACTAACAATGAAGACAATAAAGATGAATACTTGATTCAAAAATACAAATATTATTAAATTAACAAATTGTGAACAAAATTAACATTGCTTTTTATTTAAATAAAATAAATTGTTTGTAGCCTTTATTTAACCAGGTGAAAGCCCCTTGAGATCAAAAGATCTCTTTTTCAAGGGTGACCTGCAAAAAAAAATAAAAAAATATTTCACATCAAAAGAAACGACAATGTTTTAACAAATCGTATTAAATAATCTGATGACAGAACTGTAAACAGAATAGCTGAAACTTTAACAAAATAAATAACTCAGTTTCCTCTAATCATTAACCCATGTTTGTATAATTGAGTTACCTCGGTGTGTTGCTGCTAGCATACATAACACCTGACGTGGAAACGTTACTCGTGGATGGGGCTACAGAGCTACTAGAAAGACAGTCGAACCCGGTGCATTCCTCCGTCTGGATGTGGAGCACTTTTGCTAAATGTTTCAACAAATTGCTCGTGTTACCGCCCTTACATGCTAAACACTCTTGGCAAGGAGCATTGTCCACATCGAGACGAGTAACATTTAACCACACATTGGAGCGCTTCTCTCCGCCATCTCCTCGGTGTGTGTGTTGCTGCATGTAGCAGCTGCGTGTGTGTAAACTGCCCGCCCCCCTCGCACACAGACGGGAGAGAGATCTCGTCTGGATTGGAAAGGTCGAAAATACACCGACCATAGACGCATTTGTTTGTCTTGTTGCAGGTTAGAAACGAGTTGGCGACACTAAGACTGCGAGATAATGTTTTTGTAGCAATAATACATGACCTCTCTCTTTCTCAACTCGCTCCTCGGAGGGAAGTCGCTGTCATATGCCGTGTGAACACTCCGATAATGCCTCTCTACGTTACCTTTCTTTGGCAGAGCGACGCTTGCTTTACACATAAGGCAAATAACCTTTGAATGTGACATCACAAACAAATATTCTTCCTCCCATTCTGGGTGGAAGTGGTATGTTTTTAGCCTTTTGCTCGGTCCCGCACTCATTTTGTTGTTTGTCTCTAACTTAATTTGAGTTTTCCCGGCACTTGACTGATTTTGTATCGCTTTGCATTCTGGGTTAACAGACTGGAAAGCGATAGGTCGCTTTTTCTGTCAATCAAGTAAACTCCTGAATTAAGTGGTAGGGAGGCCAAGGGAGGAGGGATCAAAACCTGTTTTGTCTATTTTAACGGAGCTGGATTCTTTTTTTTAATTATGAATGACTCGCGATCTACCAGCATTGCCCGGTCGACCGCGGTCGACGTACTGGGCACCTCTGGTGTAAAGGAAAGAATGAATGGGGCCATGTATCGTGAGATTTTGAGTGACAACCTCATTCCATCAGCAAGGGCATTGAAGATGAAACGTGGCTGGGTCTTTCAGCATGACAATGATCCCAAACACACCGCCCGGGCAACGAAGGAGTGGCTTCGTAAGAAGCATTTCAAGGTCCTGGAGTGGCCTAGCCAGTCTCCAGATCTCAACCCCATAGAAAATCTTTGGAGGGAGTTGAAAGTCCGTGTTGCCCAGCGACAGCCCCAAAACATCACTGCTCTAGAGGAGATCTGCATGGAGGAATGGGCCAGAATACCAGCAACAGTGTGTGAAAACCTTGTGAAGACTTACAGAAAACGTTTGACCTCTGTCATTGCCAACAAAGGGTATATAACAAAGTATTGAGATGAACTTTTGTTATTGACCAAATACTTATTTTCCACCATAATTTGCAAATAAATTCTTTTAAAATCAGACGATGTGATTCTCTGGATTTTTTTTCTCTCATTTTCTCTCTCATAGTTGAGGTATACCTAGGATGATGAATGCATTTTTTTTTTTGTGTCGTTTATAACTGGAATATTACAATTATTATTAACTTTGTCTGTACAAAGTAACCTGTCCAGGAAATATGCCCAAATCAACAGAAACTACGATCCGGCAGGCAAGACGCTCCGCTTCTGAAATGCGCCTGGTAGGGTATGACCGGTAGAGACCGGACCAAAACCGCGACGCAGCCGGACCCGGTGGAATCGAGGGGTCACCCGGAGCTAACGGGAGAATAAACTCCGGTGGAAGAGCAGCACTGCAGCGGTCGGTAAAAGCCGCTGAAACACATCAATAAACAATGAACCACGGCACTCTGGAGAAAAGTACAAGGTTGGAGAAGTCGTTATTTAAAATTTGGCTTCGTGTGATTAAAAGCAACACGATCATCGACCCGACGCCGTTGGGGAGAAAATCAGCAACGTAAACGGTGACGTCATGACGCAGCAGCGGCAGTACCAGTCGGGCTCTGGGCGGTGTGAACAAAACGGGGGCTGAAAAGAAAAACCGGTTCCGAACCAGAAAAGCTCTAGCACGGAGCTAGAACGGGAACCGCGTTGGTGTGAAAGGGGCATTAGACATCTACATACTTTTTTTGGTGAACATTTATCTATTAGTTTTACCTACTTTGCTAAGGAAAACATACAAATCGGGAATACTTGCCTAATAAGCACAATCTCCCCAAAATGGAATAAAAAAAATTCTATATATAGAGTGAAAGAGAAGTAATGCGTGTTATATGACACCATCAGCTCAAACAACCCAGTACCCAGCCCATACCTGGGTTTGGTCCTTTGTACACAGATCTGGAAAGAATACAACCATTTGTCAAGTTTTTCTTGCAGCCAATCACTACAACTACTCTTCAATTGAATGCATCGCGCCATTGGCCCACTGTTGCTGCAGTGACATCACACAGTCTGGTGGGCAAGTGGAGCTACCAAAGCTCTCAAAAGCACAGCTAGACTACACACCTAATTCAGGACAAAACTGTGAATACAAGTACACAGTGTTTTGTACAGTTATTTTATAAATAGTCACGTAGAATATTTAGAAAATAATTTGAACACTTTGAAAATGTATTCAATAAAGTCATTCGCATAGGTTGGGGCATTTTATTGAATTCAATGATTTAATTCACAGAATGTGTATCAAATGGAAAAGGGAAAGTTTTTCTCTGGTCAACTTAAATAAAAGTATGACACGTGTCAAACCAGCTGGTTTAGGGACACCAGAAATGGCTTGAAACCAATGTGGTCCAGTATGTTGTTGAACATCAGTGTGATGTGAAACACATCTTTTGTTGAGCAGGTAATGTTCTTTCATGACAGTTTGATGTGTGATCTACGTGTCAATAAAACAGCGGTTGTTAAGAGACGGCTAAATGAGATACTGACTGCAGCACGCTCATCATTAGCCACCTTTAGCTTAGCATTGGTTATAGGCAGCCATGTGACCAGGATGTCATTTTGATAGCCTAACGTTAGCTTTTTACTTCTGGCCATTGCATTAACACTTCAAAAATCATAAAGTGGTATTAATATGTGCAGAATCTCCTGCTGAACAAAACATACAAGTATCTTAAATGTGCGTTTGCCCCAGAGCCTACAAAAATACATCACTCTATTGTAGGCTTATGTGGTATTCAGTTATTTTCCTATTCTTATTCTATGCATCCGCTGCGACCCACTATACTGACCAGGTTCATCTCTGCGGTGCTGAGGGCGTCCTGCACCGGGCCCGGCACTCTGTCGAACAGATCCGCACACAGATCTTCAAAGTCCGTCCTGGTCACCTTAGATTTGAAGTCAATGTCATCCATTAACCCTTCCACCTGAGTGAAGAAAGAAAACACTATTTCATCTTCACGTATTGGTATCAAACAAAGTCAACATGTCATGCAATTTACTCAGGTGTGAGATGTTTTTTATTTATTTTAGGTGCTGCAGACAGATCAGCTGTTTGCTTTAAGAGTGCCCGGATGGACCCTGCAGTCACCTGAGCCATGAAGTCCACGTTGGCACTCAGCACCGTCTTCAGTCTCTGGGCCTCTTTGAGGAGCTTGGCCATGGCCCGGTGGTTCTCCCTCACGTCCTTCTTTGTCTTCTTCTGCTCGTTGAACAGTTTAGCCAGGTGGTCCCGGAGTCGCAGGTCCATCTCAAAGCCCCCCAACCCGCGGTCAAACCTACAGCCAGAACAAGAGAAGCAAGCCTTAGAATACATCGAAGAATGTGGTATCCTCAAAATGTTTAGAAAATGTTGGTAATTAAACACCAGTATTGTGGATATAATCACTAAGTGGGTAAAGGCATAGAATAGAACAGTTAGTAGAGTTCAGGCAATCCAAACATGTCACTATCAGGCAGCTTTTAAAACCAGAAAAAACATCTATGCTATGTTGTGAAATTCTAAATCTGGGACAATATTTAGTCCCATATCACAATATCAACACAACAGCAATATACAGACCAACCCTACCCTCATCCCTCAGCCAATCACAAACCCTCCCCTCCGTCCACACAGCTCTCTGGTTATGAGACGTAGCTGGCTCACTGTGTAGTTGCTACTTCAGTTATTGGGTCAATACAATACATTTACAATGCATCTACAATAGAGTGTATTTATTTACAGCAGCCTGCAGTGGGCTGAACTCCACTGTCCGAGAGTTTCTACTGATAATCCTATTATGGAAAAAAAAAAATCCTAAAAATGTGAGTTTAAGGAGTTTAATAAATGGTATTCTTGGGTGTTCATTTATGTTTATATGTTAAACTATTTATCAATGTTATTTTTGATTGCTTTATAACTTGTTTATTTTATTATCATTATTATTAAATATTGTGCATGTTCTCCCCAGTCTTGAAAATGATTAATAAGACAAAGCAGATGGAATAGAGGAGTGTGTGGTTGTGACTGACCCGACCCCTCTGATCTGCAGCTGGGGCTGGGTGCCCGCCTCCTTGGTCTTCACAGTCTGGTACGTGACGATGGTGGCCGTGGTGCTCCCTGAACCCATATCATAAAACATGATGTTCTGAAACAGAAACAGGTCACTCATCAGTCGGCTTGTTATGCGCCACAGTGACAGACACACTCAATTATTTTGAAGTACAAAAATGGTAAGAGACACATGAGGATAAAGCGGTCAAAATGCTCTATTTGTTATTGTCTCTCTTTCAAAGACCAAATCAGGCTTTGATATACACTTAAAAGTTATTAGATACATTCATTGTTAGCTTGAGTCTGCACATGGGATTTGTTGACGATAATAAACATAACCAGACCAATTAATAACCATGAATTTGGAAGTAATGCTGACTGTGCACCTTGACTGTATTGTCGATATCTTTCCTCCTGAACACTCCGTAGTTCAGGGCCACGGCGGTGTTGTCGTTGATGAGCTGCAGAACCTTGAGGCCGGCCATCTGCGCCGCCTGCAGCACGGCCCGCCGCTCCGCCTGGTTGAAGAAGGCCGGGACCGTGATCACTGCGTCTTTCACCGGTTGTTCTGTGAGTGGAGGAAGACAAAGCTAGGGAATATGCCTCACATTAAAACAGTGATGATCTTCTGCAACGTGCAAACTGACCTGCAAAGTCCTGAGCCAGACCCCGGGAATAGTTGAGCATCATCCCCAGCAGCTCCTCAGGAGTGAACTGCGTTTCTCTGACAAGAAAAAGAGGAGAAAGACAGATTAGAGGCCCCAGTCCAAAGCAGTGTTTATCTTTAGAACCTATTGATGTTTCTATGACAACTACCATAGTGCTTCTAAGGATAGCTACAGTATCTCACCATCAGTCATGTTTTTAGAAATGAGCTGTAATAATAATAATCATTCATCAGTATGAATAAAAGTTGCTCCAGAGGTGAAAATGATATGAGGCATCTACACTGTAGTGTCACAGAGGTATCAGGCCATTACTGTCGACTTCATGATGAACAGACCACTAGTGAGGTCAGGGGATTATCCCCTAAACACTTCTAAATAATACAAATTAATAGACACAATATTTATTATATGAAGGAGCATTGGATGAATGTGGCACACACTCACTCTGAGTTTTTAAAGTACACGGTGCCTCTCACTGGGTGCTCCAGCAGCTGGTGCTCAGGGAAACGTTTCTGGTAGAGCGCCACCTGGAGGTTATTGTGCTTTTTTCCCAGGAGACTTTGGAGGTGTCTATACACAGTTTTAGGGGTCTTCACAGACTGAAATGTAGCAATATATTAGCATTAATAGCAAGCAAGGAAAAAGACATATCATTCTGAGAACATTTCATTTACTTAACTATGCACTGTTATTGCAAGTGTGATTCAGCAGAGGAAGCTGATATTTGATCAAACTCAATTCAGGACATTTGAGAAGAAGTCGTACCACTCCTAGTGCACTGTCTCCCAAAAGTCTTTCATTTTCCTTCAGACATACAGCAATGGGGGTTTTCCTCCGCGACTCCCTGAAGAAAAGCACAACAGAGAAAATGTTTAACACTTTAATGTCATTTCCTGATGGATTTGTTTCACTCTCTCTTGTATTCTGATCATCTCTGGGATCATCCATTTCAATTGCTCCAGTGCAAGGAAAACATATGAGGGAAAGAAAGGGGGGCTACCTTTTTAAAGTATTGTCAGTTTTGGAACACAGACACACACACTTTAGTTTTCCTCCATACATTACACACATGGGTACTGAACAATCACACGTATGTGATGACAACTGACCAGCTGTCAGTTAACAGTGCGTCTGCTGTTACACTTATCCTCAGAGCAGCAAACTAATTATATTATCCAGGACATGATTATTGGTTTTTTTGGAAACTATTTATAAAAAAGGCATAATGTTTCAGATAAAATTAAAACTTTACAATTCAAACCCGACGCTGTGGAATTATCTGATTCACATGTGACTGAATAGAGATGAAGATACATAAATAAATGTTGTTGTGAGCAGTGGGTTTCTTGCTGACAAACTCTCTGAGTTTATTTATATACATTATTAAAGTTAACAGGAGAAACAGCAGAAGTAAATAACATAATTTCTTACTTTTAACTTCATGATTAATCAGAACAGAAATGCAGTTAACAACTTGGAGGTGAGTTTAATCTGCTATCTGTCTTCACTGCGGTTTGAAACTGCAGTGATGTTGAAATGTTTCCTATCAGTAACTGAAGGGCGAGGGGGCGGGTCAGCCGGTAAAATATTTCCGTGAAGAACACTCAAGTCCCAAGGCAGAAATAAAAGCTCTAAGACCGTCTCAAAGATAGCGCATCAGAATGAAGTCCGAATCAACAGAGGATCAAGGAGCCAGGAATTGTCCAATAACAGACTTGGCATGCACCCTGTGAATTTGGAAATAGAAAACTTTGTGTGGGAAAGCAAAGTATTTACTCGTTCAGTACCAGGTTCATAAAAACACTCACTTGTTGAGGACAATCTCCATCGGCACACCAGGTTTCACTATCGCGACTTTCATCCACTCACTGCCCAGGTCCACCGACATGACAGCTACTGTCCCTGCAACACAAAGACATGTGTAACATAACGCTGGCACACCACAGACTCTGAGGGACACATTGTTCAGCCAAGTTATCTATATTTCTAAATAATTCACAATTATAGTTGTAATCAGTGTTGGAAAACGAGTCAGTTTGTCCAGACCAGTTCAGCCTCCAACAGCACTGCTCACACTACGAGGAGGACTTCATGTCAGAGTAAGATTTCTGTGTATTTTGATGGATCATGTTACCTGCTCCAGAAGGCAACATTGCCAGAACAAGGCAGACGAGAACAACCAGTGGCAGCTTCCTCCCTCCCATGGTGAGCTGGAAAGATGTACAAAAATTAACTTTTTTTATTTACATTTTCATCTTAATGAATATTCATTACAGGTCTTTACTCATCTAACCTTGACTATATTTACAGAATATGTTAAAAGCTCATCACATACCAACACCTGTATTCCCCTGATCCTCTGTTTCCGTGCCCATGCAGGCACGGATGTCCTACAGTCACTTTTCATTCATCATGTGGAAGCAGGTGCTAACCTCACATAGGTCATAATAATAATAATAATAATAATAATAATAATAATAATAATAATAATAATAATAATAATAATATGACCTACTAGAAAAGCCAAACCTGTGCAGGTAGAAACTGGAATAATGACACTCTGATAATGTTCACTGCTAATGTTTCCTCATGGTTCTTTAGTGCTAATTTGGCAGTGACTCAGGTCCAGCTGGATCAGAGAGACACTGCCACTGGTCTCTGCCCAAGGCGATGCAAAGCAGTTCATGACCTGATCACACAGCTGTGGACACTTCCAAACACGTGGTATTAATATTGTTACTAAAGCTTTAATAATTACAAGTTTGGGTTTCGTTTTTAATCAAACAAATGCATGCCGATGCAGAGCTTCAGATTGATATTGAGCAGAAGAACAACCAGAGACGCAGTGACGCATGCATACACAACTCAAACCCTCATTATTACTATTACTAAGTCAAAAAATAAAGAAAAACGTCTGGTCTTTTAGATGGTCAACATCTGGATACAAGGGCTAGTTGTAGGAGAAGTCGCAGATGTAGACTAGCTTAAGGGCCAAATTGGACCCAACTGTTTAGCCCTTCCCCGTTAACCTGAGGTGCTGTGGAGAAGATAACCAGCTTTAACACGAGTTGACAGCTACACATAGCTAGCTAACTGTCTGGCCCCATCAGTAGAAAGCATGATGGACTCACTCTGTTCCCGAGCTCACCTTCTCTCTTCCGGCACTGATGCAGGGGGGTTCTGGGATCAGTGTTCCTGGTCTAGCCTTGATTCAGTGCGTCTTTGTTGTCACACTTGACCGTTATTAGTTCCACTTATCACCGGCTCATTCTCAGCAGTCGGGCCCGGAACGCGGCGTCACCTCATTGGATCCGCTGAAGCCGCTGCTGCTGCCGGAACAACTACCGTCAGGCTAACATCAACCGAACACACTGTTTCCGGTCAGGCTTCCAGCGCAAAACAGCCAGCAGACTCACATACGGATACGTTGTTGCACATGACTCCCAAAGCTATTTTTCAATGGTTACGTTTCTGAAACTTTAATTCAGATTTAAATGGGGATTTTTGGAACTACGTGGTTAAAAACACAAACAAATACTATAGATGTCACTCCATCTGAATTAATAATTGCATTCCTAAATATAAGGTTATCTAAACTGGAGGAATGCGTACAGTGCGGTAGTTGCCTGTGTACTACATGATATTTCACTTCAGCGCAACTGCAGCACGCTCACGAGTGTTTGATTTATTGTGCTATCTCGAAATATATGTGCTCTTATTTTGAAAGGAAGACCCTTTTGCCTCCGGTTAATTTGCTCCGACTGTCTTGTCTTGATGCCTGGTGCAGCAAACGGCTGTGACCCTCCACTCCAGGACACGCCCATCATGCTCCACGCACTTCTCTGTGATTGGTCCACGTGAGGTCAGTGACGTCGAAAAACTTCTGGCTACGGTCAATTGGTCCACGTCCAGATAGTGGGCGTATATCGAATGACGGCACTTCCAGGTACATTTGGAAAAACCACATGCCCCTTTCAAATGATTGAATAAAGTCATTGTTTAATTAGTTTAAAGGGAACTGATGGTAACTTTAAAAAATGTTGTCGTCATGTTGCTTACTTTTAACAATATTTCAGCAACGACAGAGAACTTTGTGAAAAGAAATATATTTACTTTGTAAAAGCTGTAGAGGGAAACAATATTTAAAAAGTAAATATCAACATATTTGCAGTACAATTATGTACATTTAAACAGGATGGAAAGATATATACTAAATATATGTTTGCAAAGATCATGAAAGTGAGTGCACCTAAAATAGTAAACCTGAAAATCTTTTGAAAAACAGATCTATCAGCAAAAGAGAGGAAAATGCTATACATTTGCAACAATAAATGGTAGACCGCATGGAGGGGGGTCCTCTGGGTTGGAGCGCCCAATGAGAGTTGGGACCTTGGGTTCATGGCACCCGTGCATTTGGCAAAGCCTTTTATTAAATCATTACAAGATTATAGAAACACGGTTATGTCTCTGTGCCAGTGAACTATTCACTTTGGCAAAAAAGGGAAAAGTAGAAGTAGCTGCACGTTAAACTTGAAATACAGCAATGATTTGTGGTACACAGATTCCTACTTTTCAAACTCGGTTTCTGACAGAGGAACACTTTGTCATGATAAAGATCACACTGACTGCTGCACGAACAAATATACTTCATATTTACTTTATTCACAATTGTATAACACAAATTAGAGTGATAGCCATCAAATAATTTCAGTAATAACATACGATTTGATTTGTTATGTGCAAGATTAGTTATTAGTACAATCCAACACATCGAAGCTAAATTCTCCAAGGTGTAATTCAGCAAGGGTTTACACACGCACAGTTGTACATATTTTAAACTAAAGAACATGTATACAGCCCCCAGTGAATCAGGACTAGGAACACAGTTATGTAAATATGTCCATCACAGGTTCCCAAAGCAGGCAGGTGCTCAGGCAGCATCAGACCATCATCACAGGCTTCTAGCTGTTTCTCTTGGTCTGGATGAGAAGGTCTCTCTGCAGGTTGACTTCCAGACTTCCGACAGTTTTGCTGCCAGGTGGGTCGGTGACCAGAGTCAGTTTGTTAAACACACCTCGACCAAAATAGTCAGCCACGACAGAGAAACCATCATTAGAGCTGCGTAACTGAAATCAAAGGAAAAGACAAAATAAGTGCATTGCATTGTGGTCCACTGCTGAAATGAGAGATGATCCAATCAATCTGCCAACCAAACCGGCCGCTCATCAGTGTCAGATATATGATTTTATGCCACGTGTGTTAATGATAAAAGCAAAGGCTAATTGCCAAGTCAGACTTTTAAAAGTATGCTAATAAACCTGCAATTGGTGCATTTCTAGCTTTAATCTAATCAAAGTATGACCTACTGAGTAAATGAGGTTTTTACATTTTGAGAATCATGAGGAATTAAAGGAGTCATACAAAATTAAACGAAGGGAATTACTATATTTTCTAATTCTCAAAAACAATAACTATGTATTTAATGATTGAACGCACAACTTGTATTGTTGCTGTTTGGAGCTGAGGTTGCGTACCTGTTTGTTGAAGTGCTCGTGCAAGTCGCGTTTCTGGTCCTGGGCCCGCAGCATGTCCATGACTTTGCGGTTCTCAGGAGTGCATGTCGGGCACTCGGCCTCACTCTCAGCGTAGCTTTCGAAGCAGTGTTGGTGGAAGGAGTGGCTGCACAGGAAGTGGACAGACGGCAGCTCCAGTGGGCTGTTGCACATATTACATTTGGTCTTCTGGAATATCTTGGCACTGTGTAGAAATATAGGGGTAAAGATTTAAAGTCATATTGGGGTTACAGGGTGACCCTAGGTCACACAAGAACAAGTTGTTTGCCAGCCCCCCATCACCAGCTGTGCCCCCACACTGACTTGAAGAATATCATAATTTAGTGTAAGGGTTGGCTCAGGGTTGTTCATGGAAAATACATCCTTTATGTGCCCTACCTGGTTTTGAGTTCCTGGATCTCGGAGCGAAGGTGACCCGTTTCCTCGCGGTATTGGTGAATTTTACGTTCGTCGTCCTCTATCTGCTGGCTTTCCCTCTGCAGCTTATTGATGAGGTAGTCCTTGATGACGGAGAGAGTAGCTGTCGAGTTGTGTGCCAGGGTTTGCACCACTAAAGAAGCATAGAAATCATGGATGTAATGCTCTGTGATCAACATCCAAACCAGCGTGCAATAAAAATGTCAGCTCACCAAGTAATGGGGGCATCAAGTTGTTTTGGTCAATGTGATGAAGGACTTCACTGATGTAGGCCTTGCAGTCTTCTTCTTTTCTGGCAAAATATCCCAACGCCTGCTCCCAAAGGCAGCCCTCTTGCTCCCCATAGCGCTTACAAGCCTCTACCACTTTTCCATACTCCTCATTCTGCATGTGGTAGTGCATAATTTGCTGGTACCTGCAAGCAATTGCAAATCATGTCCTATCTATCCACAGCCATGGCACTTAACATCCCTCTGGCCAGGGGGTGGAGACAGAATACAGAAAGTTAACCAGAGAGAAGATTTTTGGATCAGTTGAGGGGATGCTTTGAAGTATTTGGGGCATCTTTTCTAAAACTGTGCCTAGTATTCACATGAAAAGGTAGCGTACTGATACACCCTGTCAGTGAAACGCCCCTTTGTAATATGTATACTGACTGCATGAAGATGATCATAGAAAACGCAGGCAGAACGGCTAATCAAATTAATTACACACAGCGATACATTTTAGTTCTTGATGGGGAGGTGGAGACAAGTATATTGTTTGGTCTACTCTACACCAACAACATTGGATGACTAATAAACATAAAAGGTGTGACACTGCACCCCCTCTCATGAGAAACTTTCTGTGCAAAATGCACCGGAGGACTCCTATAACGTCATTTCTCTATCCAATGAATGATTGGTTCAAACTTTGTTCTCAAAAACGATTTATATTTATTTGGTGCTGAATGTGGCAGCTGTCACTCTGCTGTGTGTTCATACGAATCCAGATACTTACAGTTTGCCCTTCTCATAAAGGTAGAGGACGCCTTCTTTGAAGTTGTGCATCTGACAGAGGACCAGAGCCTTGTCAAACACTGTGTTGTCACTCCTCAGCAGAGACACAGCCTCCCCCTGCAGGACCTTCTTTCTCTGCAAAACATATTGCAATAACAGTAAGGTTTACCAGTTAAATACAATGTCTGCAAAGACAGCAATCTGTGTACAGCAACCTGTACTCTGAAAGCATTATGCAATAAGGCTCACCGCAGGGTCCTGTTCGTGTGCCCAGTCTTGTAAACGGAGCTCCAGCAGTGTGTCGTACACACCCTGGGGAGAACGGGGGTCCACCTCGATCATGTGCTCAAGGAAGGCTTTCAGCTCGCGGGGGTTGTTGGCAAAAATTGGGATAAATTCCTCCGAGTTGGCCTTAACCAAAACAATGTGGACAGACATTTATAAGTATATTTCTGACATTATTCGATCACTGGTAATTTCAGGAGCACATAAAACTATAAAAAAATAATAAAACAGAGGCATTGAAACCTGACCTTGTTGGCTCGACCTCTGCCCAGGCTCTCCCTCTCTGCTGAATCTCCGCTGGGTTGGTAGTTGGTGCAGAGCCCCTTCAGGAGCAGCGTGGTACCTTCAGGAACATGGTGCATCAGCGTTTTGCCGTAACGCTTCATGTTGCTCTCAGCTTGTTCGAAAGGCAGGCGTCCAATATAACGCAGCCCTTCCTGATAGTTCTGGGTTTAGAAGGGAAACAGTAAAGCTCTTTTAAGACATGGAACATTGCTGGTTTTCTCCATCTGTTCAACTCAGGCTGTTTGTAATTCAGACAGGGAAGGAGACAGAGAGATTCAGATGCTGCTGCTTGTTTTAGAAGTGGCAGGACAAACTGCACCTCTTGTTTAAACCTGTTTTCTCACAAGCTGAATGTGAACAGTTTGCTGGATATTAAGTTATTCATCCATGCCGTTAGCATAAATGCAGATTGAAAATATGGTATCTGTTTTTGATGCTGCCATTTATATGGATACCTGTGCCAATCAGTGGAGTTGCAGTTTAGAGTTGTTCACATGTTTTACCTTGAGGTCCTCTAGCTGGATCTTCAGGTACCACTCATGGTGCGTGTGTTTCTCAGCCAGGAACACAGCGTGGCTGTGGTAGCCGGCCTGACGGAGAACCTTGATGGCGATCTCCACATCAAAATGAACCTCACTTTCACTGCTCTGTTTAAAACCAGAGCAGAAGGATAATGATGTTAGTATGACAGCCATTAGTGACCTGCTGCAAACTGTTTTGGAGTGTTACTCAAGGACATTGGTTCTCTTAGCAAAGAAGCAGTTAGATGTTTCTGTTCAAGTCACTTAACTTACATT